AAGTATTTGCCTAGTGCTTCTGAAGTTAGGACTGTAGCTGTATGAACACCACCTTCAGAAGGGAGCTCAAGTAGAGTAGGTTTGAAACTGGCATCCAAATAAACTAGTCAAGAAATGTGTCCTAAGCCCAACCTTACTGCAGTATGAGGTTGCTCTCTGCAATAACCTAAGCATTTTCCAGTACTAAACAAAAGAAACATTTAAATTCCAATACTCGAGCTAACAATGCTTAGTACAAGAATTAAGTGCTTAATTACCAGCATTGTTCCTACAACACATACATACTTTTGTTATTAGCTAACATTAGGGAAGCGTTAACTTACAACCGAGAAGTGCATCACGCTCAAATACATGCAATGACTTGTGAGTTCAGTATTTTTTATTAAAGATTAAAAATAAAAACATTTGACACCCAAATATACATAAAGTCACAATAAACTCAGATGTGCTAAAAGCAAAATGTGCATAAGAACACTCATTTCTAAAAGGCACCCTGCCACCAGTAGTTTTAAATGTTCGTCTAACTTCAACAGGTTTCTGGTTTTTCCTCTTCCTTCACTGAAGGTGAGACTCTACACCACTACTGAATAAAGATGCTAACCACACCAACCCCTTTCAGGGATCTTTGCTATCACTAGAACACTTAAAACTGTGCATGCAGAATTAACTCATACCTCTCATGGAGTTAACTGTCAGGATTTAAAATGCACAAGGGCCTTTTCTTCAGAGAAAAAGGTAGTGATATTTGGGCCATTTATAAGGGCCAAGAGAAAGCAATAGCATTATGAAATAACTGCTGGGCATCCAACCAAGAGCTTTGCTAATAAAAAACAACCCCCTCCTCCCACCCCCCCTTCCCAAACTCTCATTAAAAACAACCCCCCAAGTTACAAAATGCTGCGCACACACACACACGCGCGTGCACACACACAGGTGTGCACACACACAGATGAAATGTTAACACGTTTAGCTATTAGCCTGTCAGGGTGTGACAGCATAGGAGCGCCACTGCTGCAGTCCTGAAGCACAGCGATGCCCGACGCGTGCTTGCGCGCCGCTCGCGGTCCCCCACGCTGCTCGACGGCCGCAGGAGAGCACGGGGCCCGGGCCCTCTCTCGGCTAGGTAGGTCTGCGTCGATTGCCCTCCGCTTCGCCGTTACCAGGGTCTCCACATGGATTTGGGAAAGCTAGAGGAAGGCACGCCGCGCGTCCGG